TATATCAAAATATGACGATCGCGGTATTTGCAAATGAAATAATAAATTTAATTGCAACATTTATATTTTTGTTCCTGTATGAACATAAGTTAAAGCTTTATGGCTAATGTAAATATTTATCCAAAGAGTAAATAAAAATAAAAATTAACCTTTTGCATATATAACCGGTATAAAACATAAAATATTTTAACATTAATGTTATTTTTGAATTGTGTATTAAATGATGGCACAGGTATCTGTCTAAACTATAAATTCTGTATTCCATTAAATTTTGTCATTAATTTTGTTGGTGAAGAGTAAGAAAAAAATATATTTTAGTTTTAATAGCATCCACGCCAAATTCTTGCGGTAAAGTAAGTTTAATATAAGATTAGAATTCATATTTGTCTTCATTTATGTCTCAAATTCCATTTCCATGTGTGGTGTGTATCATAAAATTACAACAGAAAACCGCCGAACTGCTGGTTTATATTTATTTATCCTAACTTATAATTCACATTATCCACAGCGTAAAAAGAGAATGCATGATATACAATATGCCAATCTGTAGTTAGTCCAATTTTACTAATAATAGTCAGGCACAATAAATGTATAACTTATAAAATTGTGAAATGTTATTTTTTTTTTAAATAAATTAAATAGAATAAAAAACCAGTTTTGTTGTTTATTCGAGAAATTTTTGTCCGAAAAACGAGAAGATAATTAATTAAATTTATTTATCAAATGAATAATACTTAAATATAATTAATTAATTGAATGGTGGTTATAAATCTTGTAGTTTCAATAAATTCGAAATTATTAATATCAGAGAAGAAGAGAAACTTATTGCATCAGTCGATAAAGGTGGGAAAAATTTACTATAGGTTTTACGTAAAAAATGATGAATTATATGATACACTAAATGAGATATACGTTAATATTGGTCGTTGTGGTAAGCATTGAGTGAATATAGAAATAAAAAAATTAATACAGGTATTTGACTCAAAAAGTGATACTTTCTTAAAATTTTGAGGAGCATGTCAAACCAAAATCTCATCTAACCGAAAAGTGCTTGTAGGTAAACCGTTTATTCATTCTGAATGAATTTTATAGTAAATTAATTGCATATGCATTAAACATTTTCTTTAATAATATTTGTTTAATTTTATATAAATTTACCCGTTCTCTCGGTTTTTCCTAGTGATACTTTCTTAAAATTTTGCGGAGCATGTCAAACACAAACGTCATCTAACCGAAAAGTGCTTGTAGGTAAACCGTTTAATCATTCAGAATGAATATCATAGTAAATTAATTTCATATGCATTAAACATTTTCTTTTATAATATTTGTTTAATTTTATATCAATTTACCCGTTCTCTCGGTTTTTCCTATTTATAAGTGTACATGCGTTAATCAAGACTTGGAGACAACAAAATGATTGTAGCTCACTTTTTACCTAATCAAATTTATTTTAATACTAAAATAATACTATTAACAAAAGTAATTTTATTACTTATTACTAATAGTANTAACATTTACTACCTCCTAATTATAGTCATATCAAAATAACAAATCGTACAAGTAGTAATTGGCACATAATAGGTATGTAGGCATCTATATTATATTATTCACGACTAATATCATACGTAAATATTTTATAAAACTATGGTATGCAATTATATCAATAAATATAAATAAATCATCATTTATCTTTTATAGTAAACAAAAAAGGGTAAATTTCCGTAATTTTAGTAATTTTCGAATTATAATACCCACGAAAAACCAAACTGATTTTGTCTAATTAAAATCAACTTTTGTTGAATAGGTGATTTACAAATTTGGCGACCTCTAGCAAGAACATTTGGATAATCAGTCGACTACTGCCATAACGTAACGTTTAGAAAATTTTACTGTTATCAAGAATCATACATATTTCCGACAAATTGATTTATAAAACCAAAACTTTCAACTGAAATATTTAAGATAAGGGCAAAAAACTTAACTTTGTGTCTTCTTTAAATATCGTATCATTTGCGTATCTATATCTGATTAATTGAAAACATGCCATTAAAATTTACCGCTGGTTATGTTATTATCTATTCTTTTATGTTAGTGTTAGTACACGGTGACGGTGGAGGTACTCCTAATGACCTACCTATCGCTAATAACCCTAACCCGCCACCTGATAATGCACCCCCAGCTGATTGCCCCCCACCTTGTAAGAGAGACTTTCTTTGGATCCAAAATGTGTGTAAAAGAGGTGTACGTGAATATAGTCCCACTGTATATAATTGTTTTTGTTGTAAGTGACGATTTCAATTATTAAAGGCCCAATTGCCATTTATTATGCAAATTCAATAATAATGTTAAGTATTCCAAAAGATCTTTCCATAATTTATTCTTATAAAGAAGCACACTCACAAATTGAGGCACTGCAAACAATTAAATTAATTTACACCTACTCACTACAAAATAAATTGGGATGACATAAAGTGCATATATCCTAATAATTATATAGTATAATAACTTTGCTGTGTTAACTATATAATAACGTTATTTTTGCATATTTAAAAAATAAAACATTAAATGTCAACTTTTGTCCGTACAGTATTTTTGTAATACATTTATCATAAGTGATAAAATAAAATAGTTTTTAAATACAGTTTATTTGTTGTATTGATTTCATGAGACATTACTTACACATCATATTACCTATGAAGTTCCTGCGGACCGTAGTTATTGCTTTGTGATATTGAAAACCACAACTCCAATATTAAGACAAAACAATTACTTTCATTGCATTTTTTTAAAATAAAATACGTTCTTTATATTTAACATAATACGAGTCGTAGGGAAATTAATTTAAATTAAAAAAAACTTATTTTAAACGGTAATTCTTTTAGAAATGTTTACGTAAAGAACAAAATATGTTCCTTAATATAGTGTAATTCTTAAACAAATCATTGTTGTGAAATCATTATATTCGACTGAACATGACTTAGACTTCGATTGTTCGTCAGCGATGGTAACCATCAATTTTTTGGCAGGGATTTGACTATAATGAAAATTAATTTTAATAATATAATAATATTATTAACTAAAGTATTTTAATTACTTATTACAAATAGTAATAACAATTACTACCTCCTAATTATAGTCATATCAAAACATCAAATCGTACAAGTAATAATTGGCACATAATATGTATGTTGGCACCTTTATTATAAAATTCATGTCTAATATCATACGTAAATATTTTGTACAATATTATCATGTTATTATATGTCTTTATTAATAATGCATAGTTTATAATTAATAGTAATTAAAAAAAGTGAAAATTTCCATAATTTTAGTAATTTTCAAATTAAAATAAACACAAAAAAATAAATTTTGATCCTGTATCGAGTAGGCAGTGAACCTAGCGGTAATTTTAACTGCAGTAATTTTTTTCAATTAATTTATCTTAGACCGTCAAGTGAAAGTGATTACACCGTAATAATCTACCTTAAAGTTAGGATTATAGTGTTTCAATAATTTTAATGATTTCAAAAGTACAGTATTTTATATTTAAAAATTTAATGAGTTTTAATATCATTATAATATAACTGATTTTGTCTAATTAAAATCAACTTTTGTTGAATAGGTAATTTATAAATTTGGCGATCTAAACCTCTAGCAAGAACATTTGGATAGTCAGTCGACTACTACTATAACGTAACGTGTAGCAATTATTACTGTCAACTGGAATCATACCTATATACTAAATATCAATTGTTAAGACCGTAACGTTTAACCGAAATATATTAAAATTAAAGCATAAAATAAATTTTGTGTCTCCTAAGAATATCTTATTATTCGCGTATCTATTTCGGATTTATTGCAAATATGCTATTAAAATTTATCGTTTCGTGTGTTATTATTTATTCTTTTTTGCCGGTGTCAGTACAAGATATAGGTGTAAGTCCGTTTGCTCCTGATATTCTACCTCGTCTCCCTGATGATCCGCATTTCAAGTACCCTGGCCCTCCATCAATTCCTAATTTACCTGAAAATCCAGGTCACCCTCACCGTTAGATTAAAAGACATTAAAAATCAACTTTTGTCCGTATAATATTTGTGTAATAAATTTATCAAAAGTGATATAATAAAATAGTTTTTAATTACAGTTTATTTGTTGTATTGATTTCATGAGACGTTACTTACTCATCATACCACCCATAATGATACTATGAGAGTTTAGTTATTTGTTTGTAATATTGAAAACCTTAACTCCAAAATTAATACAAGACAATAACTTTTATTGTATTTTTGAAATTAAATTTGTTGTATTTATTAAACTTAATACGAGCCCTAGGCAAATGAATCAAATTAAAAAAAAACTTATTTTAAACGGTATTTCTTTTGGAAATGTGTATGTAAAAAACAAAATATGTTCCATATATAGTGTATTGCTTCAACAAATCATTGTTGTAAAATCAAAATTATCGACTGAACATGACTTAGATTTAGACTTGGATCTGTTGTGTATTATGGACACAGAACAGTAAAGCGCAGAAATGCCTGATTCTAATTACTTATCAAAACTTATAATTTATGATTTATAATATGCCAATCAGTGATAAGTCCGTTTTTACTAGTGGTTTGTTAAGCACAAAGGTTGAAAGGCTAGTAAAATTGTGAAATTTTAATTTCATTTAAATAACTAAAATGGAAAAAAAACAGTTCCGTTGTTTATTCGAGGAACTTTTTTCCGACAAACGAGAAGATAATTTATTTTATTTCTCAAATGACTAATACTCATATATAAATAATTAATTGAAAGGCAGTTATAAATCTTGTTGATTTAAAAAATTCGAAATTATTAATATCGGAGGAGAAGAGAAACTTATAGCGTCAGTCAAAAAAGTCGGGACAAATTTACTATAGGTTTTACGTAAAAAATGATGAATTATATGATACACCAAATGAGATATACGTTAATATTGGTCGTTGTGGTAAGCATTGAGTGAATATAGAAATAAAAAATGGTATTATATAAACAGGTATTTGACTAAATAAGTGATACCTTCTTAATATTTTGCGGAGCATGTCAAACAAAAATGTCATCTAACCGAAAAGTGCTTGTAGGCAAACCGTTTATTCATTCTGAATGAATAATAAATATGTTGCTTTTTCAACAATATATATGCCATATTATAGTAAAATAATTGCATATACATTATACATTTTTTTTTATAATGTTTGTTTAATTTTTTATCAATTTTCCCGTTCTTCCTTTTTTTCCCATTTATTAATGTGCATGCGTTAATCAAGGCCTGGAGACAACAAAATGTTTGTAGCTGACTTCTGATCAATTGAATTTATTAGTAGGGATTTTACTTTAATAAAATATAATTTAATAATATAATAATATTATTAGCAAAAGTATTTGTATAACTTATTACCAATAGTAATAACAAGTACTAGCTCCCAATAATAGGACGGTATTACGGGTTTTTGAATTTTGAATACGAACAACTAAAGACAAAATAGAGAGTATCTCATCGACTTGCATTCGCAAGCTAATGGCAAATTTTGCTGTCTTATGGTTTATTCAGTCAATTTAACAAAATGTGTTCAGTCGCGGGCTTAAAAGTCAAAAAACCGTTAAAGAAGTGGCGACTAATATTTTGGATATATTTTGTATTTTTGGAGCACCGGTTATTTTACCTTCCCACGGTTTTGGAAATGTGTATGTAAAGTACAAAATATGTTTCTTAATTAAGTGTATTGCTTAAACAAATCATTGTTGTAGAAGCATAATTTTCGACTGAACATGACTTAGACTTGGATTGTTCGTCAGCGATGGTTTACGGTATACATTAAACTATATAAAAGAGTGGCTACACTATTCCCTTCTATCCTAGGATGTCTTTTTTTTTTTATTGTAAATCAGTTCAAAATATCCATAGACTAGAATTTTTAACAGAAAACATACATTTGCCTTTTCTAGACTTGATAATATTTTTAAATTGATCGAACATTTGAGGTATTTCCAGACATTTTATTTGCAAGTTTTGTACCTTATTTTATTCGGTAACTTCATCAATTGGGTATACAATTGTAAGACTAAACGGATATACTTATACATTCGTCAAATCGTTTATCAGAAGACCTTCATGTTTTTCGAAAATATTTTGCATATTATACGTACATATCATATATTTCCACCTTTTTTTTCGGCATGAGAATTAACATACAGACACTTGTTAAGAACAGCGATTTACCTTTTACCACCTTCTTGGAATCGTCCCTCTTATCCGTAAAATATTTTAGTCAATATTTTACTCCTAAACATAATAATAAATGATACCTATAATTGTAATTGTGTACAAGGTTTAATAGTCTAATTAAATAAAATTTAGGCATCGCTTCTGGTTTCTAAATGTATTATAATCAATGAATTATTCTTAATTACACATACAATTGAGTCACTAAATATAATATTGATTTTTGTTTTAATATCTAATTGTCCTTTAATAATTTTATTAAAACACATTTTTAAAAAAAAATTTCTCTGACTCCTGACTTAATATTTTTTCTGATTTTTTTGTTCTATTTAAAATCAAAACCGTCAGTATTTAAATTCTCATTAAAGTGATAGGTAATGCTAATAGTAATGAATTTACTATGTTGTATAACGGGTTTTCCCAATTATTTGAAAAAACGCTTAGAAAATGTTTTGAACGGCCTATTTTATGAACCAACTAGATTCAGAGTTCAACTAAATTTTTCTATTGGACTTTTTAATTAAAATAATGTTATATATTTTGGTCGAATGTACAGAATTATGATAAGATAATTATTTTTTTTATAAGTGTGTGACGAGCCGCAAAAACAGTTGCATGCAATAAATCATAGAAATGTGTTGCCAATAATTTTATATTTAATAACTCTGCGAATTTTTTTTTTTTTTTTTAATTAATTATAAGGTACTAAAGTACATTTTGAAAAAAGTTTAAAAAAATGTTAATCGCATCTATGCAGAATTATTGCAATAGAGTAAGTTGTTATGTAAGTCATGGACACTGTTAACATGTAGATAATGTATATATTAACATGCATTTATGCTAATGTGTAATTTTTCGTTTAAAAACATGAAATCTCAATATTTCTAGATAATAGTTACGCTAACCAGGAATATTGTACAATGTTAAAAGTTATTTTTAAAATATAGTAGAAGTCTTTGTTAAAATTCTGTGTATTCGGGTATGTATTTAAATAATATTTTCATGACATAAATAATTTAACTGCAGTTCAAGATTAGATAAGAATCCATATTTACCTTTATGAAAAATATAATGAAAAAAAATACCGATAAACACTCATAATCCATGTCCATGTCTGGTTTGTATCATGGACTCAGAACAGTAAAGCGCAGAACTGCCAGATTTTAATTACTTATCAAAACTTATAACTTATGTTTTATAATATGCTAATCTGTAATGAGTCCGTTGTTACTAGTGGTTTGTTAGGCACAAAGGTTGAAAAGCTAGTAAAATTGTGAAATTTCAATTTCAATTAAATAACTAAAATGGAAAAAAAACAGTTCTGTTGTTTATTCGAGAAACTTTTGTCCGAAAAACGAGAAGATAATTAATTAATATTATTTATCAAATGACTAACGCTTATATATAAACAATTAATTGAAAGGCGGTTATTAATCTTGTCGATTTAAAAAATTCGAAATTATTAATATCGGAGGAGAACAGAAACTTATATCATCATTCGAAAAAGGTGGGACAAATTTACTTTGGGTTTTTTTAGTAAATAGTTTACACCTTCTAACCACTAGAATATTGGGATGCCATTAATTGCATATGATATAATAATAATATATTATAAAAAACCTGCTTTGTTAATTATATAATAACTTTATTTTAGATTTAAAAAACACTAAAATCAATATTTGTCCGTACAGTCATTGCGTAATATGGTTTTCTTTATTGACAAAATAAAATAATTTTTAATTTCTGTTTTTTGTTATATTGATTACTTGGGTCAGTTGTTAATCTTCATATTACCTATGAAGATCCTTCGAGACAATAGATATGGGTTCGTGATATTGAAAACCACAACTCCAATATTAAGACAAAACAATTACTTTCATTTTATTTTTTTTTTTAATTAAAATACCTCTTTTTTATTAAACTTTATACGAGTCCTAGGTAAATGAAACAAATTAAAAATACGAATTTAAACGTTAAGTACTCTGAAAACGTGTATGTAAAGAACAAAATATGGTCTTTAAAATAGTTTAA